GATTATAAACGACTCACCACACTGATCGCTCTCCGCGACAACTCAGAAGTCAGGTGATCCAGCTGTGAAAACGAGACGCTTTATTTGCCCTGAAACCTACCGCCTTGTCCATTTCTCTGTCAGGCTATAGCCCATGCCAATGGTTGTGAAGGTGTTAGAGGGAAGGCATTCCACCAATGTAATTCTTATTCTCATATTAAATTATCTACCCGTCGGGACATCGCAAAGCGTCTTTCTATGCAGTACGGACAAAAATCTGCCCTGGAGGACAGTTGTAAATATAAACCCACCCTTCTGCTTAGCGCGCATTGCACAGCCTCGGTGCTCGTTTAGCTGCCATTACGCGCGGCAGATTCAGAGGCTAATGTTTTTTGGTTTGTGTTCGCACTTTACTGACACCGTCTATAACACGCCATGGCCTCTGTCACGAGCTCTTTCACACATCCGTTTTTGTCTGCTTCTTCGTTCTTCCTCTCTCTCTTGGCTTCGCAGTGAACTCTTTGTGCATTGCCTTCCCACACAGTAGACCTTGGCAGTTTCAAGGTCACTCCACCGCTGATGACCTTGGCCTCATCGTTGAGCCTGCTGTGTTCGCAATGAATCATCTTAGGCTGTTTGAAGAACGGACTCGAGTATTCTTTGTCTTCGGTTGCTCCGGTTCTTCTTCAATTCTCACGTCTTTGTGCGTTTTCCTCAAAGGCGTAGCCCGCTTTATTTCGCTTGGCAAGGAGAAGGCATAGTCGTTCACTTTGTTGACCGACGCTGCTCTTGACCAAACGAACTCCTCCACTGCATGCGAAGAAACGGGACGGAAGTTGGACTGTGTATTTATCTACCTATCCGCACCAGTCCACTAACCAGCTCTGACGATGGCTGGGGCCTAGGAATGGGAATAGTGAAAGTGAGGTCGTTGGCTCAGTGCATTTCCCCCACTATCAGAAACCCGACGCTCTTAAAGCTGTCACGGTGCGCTAAGAGTCCTGGCTTGTAAAGTTGCCAGCTCACGGGATAACTCGGTCCACGCACTCAGCGCAATGTTTATTTGCGCGGAATGGTGAATTGAGCGTCAGACTGCAATGGTTCCTTAATGTGGCCTTTATGTCACTCACACCCTCTGCGATTTGAAAACCTAAGGACGCCTCCGGTCTTGCCAGCCACACGCGTCCTTTCTCGCTTCCGGTCTTCATGGCTTGATCATAATGCCGAGCCTAGATGGGTGAGGGAGAGTGCGGTAGATGCAGCGCAAGTCTGCTCTCACTATCATCTAATGTGTGCGCAAATCACCGATCTAACTTCCAGCCTACTGTGGAACACACAGCGGACCTTGCCGGAA